GGCACGGAGCAGGCTGCCCGAGGCGGCGTCGCGCAGCTCCAGCCGGTCGCGCGGGTCGGCCAGCTCGAAGAGGCGGAAGGTGAGCTCCAGCGCGGCGCCCGGCGGGCTCAGCGCCCAGCTGCAGTTCCGGTCCGGCCCGTACTCGTCCGGGAAGTCCGGGGAGTAGACGACGCCCTGAGGAGCGGTCCAGTTGCCCTGGCAGGAGCCCACGGACACTGTGGGCGGGGCCTGCCGTCAGAACCGCGGGGCCAGGCTCCTCTCCCTCCCCGGGGGGGGGGGCCGACCCCAGACCTGCCTCCCTGCCGCCTGAGCCGGGTCCCACTCCTTCCGAGGACTGTGACTCCTCTCAAGCCCCGCCCTCAACCCCAGGCCGCGCCCCTGACCCCCGAGATCGGCCCGGTCGCCTCTTCTGCGCGTCCCAGATCCCGCCCCCCCATGAGGGCATCGCGCTCCCGGGTCTCACCCAGACTCCGCCGCTCCCCCAGGCCCCTCTTCCCCGCTCACTCCTCACCTTCGTAGATGCCCAGACGGCCGTCGCCGCCGCACAGCTGGCCCGGGTGGCCGAAGCAAATCTGGTCACAATCGGTAGCTGGGGCCGGGCGTCCCCGGTCCAGGTCGCTTTCAGAGCCACAGAAGCAGGCGTAGCCAGCCTCCACGCCCGCCAGCTGGGAGCACAGACTGGGTGACCCCAGAGGCAGTGGTTGGGGCAGGGGCGGGGTAGTGGGAGCCTAGGGTCTGGGTCGCAAGCGGGAATCGGGCTGGAGGTTCCAAAATCAGCGTCAGGGTTTGACGTCAGAGTTGGGGCTTGATCTGGGTCCTGAGGTCAAGTTGAGGGGTCCCCGTTCTGGGCCAGAGGTGGGAGGCAGTACCTGGTAGCCCTTCATGCGGCAGAAGCGAAGGCACACCTGGACCGTGAGCTTCGTTGAGGTGCCACTGGGGCCGCTGAGGGCGGGGGGTGCCCCGGAATCCACGAAGCAGCCCAGGTATCCAGGCACTGAGGGGGCAGCAGAGTCAGGCTCTGTGCGTGCCCCCAAAAGAGAACTCCAGCCAGGCAGCCCAGCGTTCCCAGGCCTGTCCAGCCGGGCCCACTCACTGTGGCACGTGGGAATGTCGCAGTAGCGCCAGTAGATGCCCTCCTCCGTCTCGGCTACGTAGCACCACGGCTGCACGTCGCCGTCGGGGTTCCTGCCGGTGGGGGACAAGTGGTCCGGATCCGCCACCCCAAAGGCTGCAGATCCCAGGCCCCACCCCACAGCCTATTCGCAAAATGGCCACCGTGTGTGTTAGAACTTTGTGTGTTCCTCTCCGTTGTCGCACAAATTCTGGTTTGTCCCACGTGCTTCTGGATGTCGACTTCCGAGGGGTTGGTGGGAAGTCCTTCAAGGGGCCCTGAGGGCGTATTTGGGGCTTCAGCTGTTGCTAGGACGTGCCCTTATACGTGAGGACTTTGAGGCCACCAGTAGTGTCCCCAACTCTGCCTTGAGCCTCAGCCACTTCCCTTGGGCTGGGACCCCGCTTTAGAGCAAAAGTGGTGAGCCCTGAGCTTGGTGGTGTTCTCCAGCTCAGCTCCAGACAGCAGTTGTGGCTCTGAGCCCCCAATCCCTCCATAACGAGTTGGGGCTCTCAAGTCAGTTGTATGGCAAGGGCCCGGCCCCTCACTCCAGGGCTCGCCCCACGACTGGGTCCCGCCCGCGCGGACTCCTTGAATGCCCAGGCCTGACCCGAGACTGCAGACTCTGGGCACCTAAGGCGGGTCCCACGCGCGACAAGGTTCCGAGCGTCCAGCCCCGCCCCCAGGACGGGCTAGGCCTCGTCCCTCGCCGAGGCTCCGCTCCCAGACCCTCCGGGTGGACTTTGTATCCGCCCAGCCAAGACCTCCCTTGCGCCCACAGCGAGGCCCTGCCCCAGGACCCCGCAGACCCCGCGGCGCGCAGCCCCGCCCCCAGCGCAGGCCCCGCCCCTCACCGGCAGAAGTTGTGCGGGCCCAGCCCCCAGCGGCCCTGGGGGTCGCTGGCGCTGCTGTAGCTGTGCTGCTGCGTCTGGTCCCAGAACAGGCACGGGCGGCCGGCCTCGCGCGGCCCCGTGCGGTTCTGGTGGCCGCGGTAGTCGGCGCCATTCACCTGGAAGCACTCGGACAGGCCTGCACGGCGACCGCGGGGACTGGGGAGGTCCGCACCTTCCCCCGCATCTTCAGCCCCCCCCAACTGCCACCCGGCTCCCCAGTCAGCGCCCCCGACGCCTACGGGGCCCTGAGGCTGCTCAGCTGCTCCCGCCACCTGCTCTGCCCCCTCCTCAGCCTCGGAACCCGGTTCTAGGTGCGGAGGCAGAGGAGAGAGTGGTGACCACGGCTCAGTCGTCGGGCCAAGACTCACCTGGGCTGTGCAGGCTCCCGGCGGAGGCGCCGCGTGGCGGCAGCAGCGGGAGGAAGAGGAAGAGAAGGAGGAGGCCCCGCGGGGTCCGTGTCTCCATCGCCCCCAACCAAAGAGGGGTTGCCCTGGCCCACGCACGCTCCATGCCGCCCCCGGGGTCGCTCCGGGGTCTTCCAGGCGACCTGGGGGGGCGTTGTCCTCTGACCGTCTGTTCTCGTCCCACTCTGGGCGGCGCTCTCCGTCTGGGGCGGTGTATATGCCTCCCAGGGTTTCCGCCCCTGAAGGCGTCTCTTTGCCCCTGTGTCCCCACTGGGGGTATCCCCGGGGTTCTCTGGCCAGGGGCGTTCTCCGTCACTGCCCCTCAGTGCTCGGGTCTTGCCTCGGCTTCCACGCCCGCCCCCTCCCGCTGCGCCTTGCTCTCTGTGTCTCCCTCGCTCAGGTCTCTAACGCACTGGCTCCTGCCCCCCTCGCGTCCCTCTGTGGGTCCCTCCCCCTTGAGTCCCTCCCTCCCCACCCCATTCCCCCGAGGCCGGGAAGCCCCGCCCGAGACTGGAGCGGAGGCAGCAGGTCCAGACGCCTCCCACGCCAACCGCCCCCCCCCCACACACTGCCCCGGGACCCTCGGTGTCCCGGCACGCTTCTCCCCTCCCCTTCCCTTCTCAAGGTCCGTGCAGGTTCTAGCGGTGTGTGGAGGAGGACAGGCCAGGCTGGTGGACAGACGGACCCCAATGGGGGTGATACACGACCCTCTCCCGAGACCACACGCCCCTGGGACACCCTCCCTTGAATCAAGTGCACGCACGCACTCCCAGTCTGTCACCCATTCATTGTCGGAAGCTCAAACGCACACCCTCTTTCACATCCTCAGGCCCCTCTCCCCAAGTACCGAATGCCTCTGGTTTGACGGAGGAAGTGCCACTCCCTGCCCCCACGCCCGCGAGACAGGCGGGAATGGTGGACGTTCAATCCCGGACAGGCAGGGGCAGCTGGTGTCTGGGGAGGAAGGCAGCTGCGCCCCTGTTCCCAGCCTGTCCTCTCCTCTCTTCCCCCTTCTTTCCGTAGGACCCCCAGCCCAGGCTCGCTGGAGCCCTCGCAGCGCAGTGGAATTCCCCCAGCAGAGCCCCCCCACACCCAACCTGGCGGGGGAGGGGGAGGGGAGCAGGCCCAGGCAGGCGTGGGGGGAAATTCCCCGCCCCCTCCCCCGGGACCAACTCCTCCGAATCCTCTGATCTCCCAGCGCCGCCCGCCGGCTGCCCCCAGGGCTTGGGGGGAGGCCAGCGCAGGTGCGTGGGAGGGCGGGGGCGGCGCCGGGGAGGAGATGGGTGGTGGCCCGGGCCCCGGAGCGGCCCCGCCCCGCCCAGATCCGTTGCCCCTCAATCCAGCCTCCCCACCTCTCCGCAGGCCTTCACCAAGCTGTCCAGCCCTGACGGACTGTGCCCGCCCATCAGCTAGGGGCGTGCAGGAAGGATTCTAGAAAAGCCAAGATGTGGGTAGCGACGATGGGACCGGATACCTAGCAGTTAGTGTCTCTCGTGATAAGGCTCCTGGATCCTAGGGGCGGGCAGCCCCGGGGGGTGAACATTCGAAGGAGGTGGGCTTGCTGAAACTCGAATTGGACACCAGGATCGCCTCCTGGGGAAGCCCTGTCAGCTGCCAGGCTGGCCGGGACTCGCCTCCCAATTTCCTGGCCCTGCTGAGCACTGGACTGGGAGTCTCACATGCACATGCTAGCCCAGCAGACAACCTGTGTCTAAGGCCCCCCTAACCAGGGAATGACCGGGGGCCACCCTTTGACCTGGCCCCCTTCTCTCATGAAGGGGGGTACAGAGAGAGGCAGTTGCTGCTGGGGCTTGTAGGTGTCCTCCTAAGTCTCTGGCCCACAGGCAGCATCTGGGGACCGCAGGCCTGGGCCATGGCCTCTGTGATGGAGGTGTGTGGGGAGTGTCACCTCCAGGGTCACAGATTGCCCAGGAAAGGGCTAGGTGGGGGACAGGGACAGGGGTCAGTAGGGAGAGTAGAGTAGGGACAGGCACCTGTCCTGGCAGGGATGAACCAAGCTGTCCATCCAGTCTACTGTACTTCAGCCTCCCGTTCCCCAAGGGCTCAGTCTCCTGCAGAGGAGCTATTGGATGACAGGGACGGGGTGCTCAGTTCTAGGACTGGGGCACTGAGATGAGGGGCAGGGTCTCATTGCAAGCTCCAGTCCCAGATGGCTCACAGAGCCTCAAACTAAAGAAGACCTTGGCTCTGGGGCGCCTGGGTGGCTCAGTTGGTTAAGCGACTGCCTTCGGCTCAGGTCATGATCCTGGAGTCCCTGGATCGAGTC